CATATGTAAGAAGTGGAGGATAAGGCAATCCTTTTTGAGTGGCTCGCTCTCCTGAGCAACAGTAGTTGTGATTAAATAAACCCCTCCACCTAGCGCAATTATCAAACGTGGTGACATTAACTTTGGTAGAGGACAGCTCCTAAAAGACCTTTGCCTTCTAATGGAACACATATTTACGGTCTCTGAAATTTCAAAATATTCTAAGCCAGTAGGACCAAAGGTAAATGTTCAGCCAAATGTGCATTTTAAGGTGAGATGATGGTAACTCTTTGTTCTCTGGCTCATAAATTGAACCTTCTGGCGGATATAGGATGGTCCTGCTAGATATATCTCTCGCTCATTCTGTAATCAGCAATGCCTGTAACAACTTTTATATCTCCATTTAACATTTGCGGATAGCTCTAGTGTCTGTTTCGTTTCATCATTAATCTTTTCCGAAACCTCACTGCTGCCACCAAAGCCATGCATAGAAATTCCCAGCCGTGCCTCTGCAAATTAAACAAAACGTGCTCTGAGCCTGCCTTAAAATCGAAGGCATTATGTGATTTATTTTCCAAGCCGTTCCCAGGGCTGTGCCCACAGGTGAGATAGCACAACGTTTTGGAAGTGGGGACGCCACGGTAGCGATTCTGTAAATCTGTGTTACGTGAGATCTCCGTGGAGGGGCTTACCCCGCTCAGTCTTTCTCATCTCTAAAGGAGAAAGCTTTTCGCCCAAGAGTCCTTTCCAAGCAAGCTCAGGATGACTGTCAGCAGGTCAGGCTCACGTCTGGCCAGGTCTTTAGCACCCCTGTGTGTCGCTAGGTAGGGGAAAGCTTGTAGGATCAAAGAGTCCCAGTAGAAAGCCCAATGAATGACAATGTACCACAAGCATGCTTGTCTACAAAAAAGCGTCGCCAGGTGGAAATGGCCAAAATGGAGCTCCCCATCCCCCAGGTGAAAGGGCTCAGCCTCTGAGGAGCCTCGGAAGTATAACTAGAGCCCCAAGACCAGACGTGGGCCCATGAGGAAGACCAAGCAGTTTCTAGGGGAGGAAATATTTTTACTGACCTTTTTGAGTTACTGTTGCACTTCCATTAGTCTCTGAACTCCAGGAAGATGGTGATCATTTTTCATGGGCTGCTAGCTTTTGCGAGTTTCTGGTTGGGCAGGTTTTAAGTTATCAGAGCAATAGAACTTCCCCTAACAAATCAAAGCACTGCCTATCGGCAGGGTGTCAGTGCTACTCCTAATAGGGCTTGAGGACTGACACCGTCTACATCACCTGGGAGTTTACTAAGCATGCAAATTCTCAGACCCCACCCCAGATTTACGTAGGGACTGCTGGGGGTGGGGCCCAGCAGCGTGAGCTTGAACCCCCTTCCAGGTGATTCTGAGGCACACAGAAGTTTAAGAAGCATGGATCTACCTATCCTTCCTCCCTTAGTGCCAACACCCTCAATTTGGAGGAAGGGTGGCAAGGTTCCCTGTAAATACTCCATTTCCCAGCCTCCCCTGCCACAAAGGGAGGTCAGTGATACACACGCGGAAGTGACTGGGTGGGACTTCCAGGAGAACAGTTTCAAGGGAGGCTGGTTCAGCTGGGAGGTCACAGCTCCTTCTCCCCTTGCCCTCCCTTCTGCTTCCTGCCTGAACCATGGATGTGAGGATTGGCACTTCAACAGCCCTCTCAGCCCATGAGGCAGCCAAATGCTCAGATCAAGCATGACTTTCTTTCTTCCAGATTCCCTTCATATGAGAGAAAAATAACCTTTAACTTAGTATAAACTTGTTATAAATTGGCTTATTTGGGTTTTCAGTTATACGCCATCCAACCTAATCCTCACTAAATCCCAAATATTGCATCACTGTTAGCTCAGTTAGCACAGACGGCTCCTAGAAAAGCCAGAAGGGGAGGTAGAAACATCTTTCCCAGGGCGACCGGCCATCCTGCCCCAGTAACCAATGCCCTGCTTGTGTTCCCGGGCCCAGCCCTTCGTCCATGTAAAACTTCCCGTAAAATTGGCTAAGTAAAAAACTGATTACATCTGTAGAAAATGAGCAACTGCATCTTTTCCCTTACCTGGTGTACAAAGATAAGAAATTGGCGTGCTCCTTTAGGAAAAGAGGAACTAGGCAGGGGTGGGAGGGAGCAACCACACTGGGAAATCCACAGCTGAAGAGTAAAGTAGTTACGAACCTTTTTACAAACAAAAGCTGCGCTGATTGTAAGGTCCCTGTGCTCTGTGTTTGCAGCCAATTTAGTATCCATCTTGCCCACTCTCTCTAAGTGGGCTGAGGCAGGAAACAGGAACTGTGACCAATTTGTTCACTACCATGTTCTCGGGCTTAGGAGAACAAATCCATAAGGATTTGTTAAATGAATGAATGGATAGATAGATGGATAACTACTAATCTTTCCATGTTGATACGGGTCCTTCCACTCATTCTAGGTAAAACCAAGTTGAGTATTCAATGAATGGCCCCAGGGGAAGGAAGCGTTAGTCACATGGTCCTATTGCCCAGGGTCTGTATGGAGGGCGCTGTCATAGGGTGTCAGCAGCCCAGGGACTGGTCCAGAGCTGTAGAGCAAGCACTGCTGTGGGCCGTGTAACCCACACCCAGAACTACCTGTAACCTCAGTCACATCATCTAACTTCCCAAGGTCTCCCTAAGCAAAACATAAAAAGTTGGAGCAAGTTATGCTCCACACTTCTCCCAGCTGATTCAGTCAATGCAGGAATACAGAAGAGAGCTTAGTGCCTGAAAATAATCTCTAACCCTAGTTCTTAGAAGTTTGCTGCCAGCGATTTTCATTATTAGTTTCGACGAACTAACACAAGGCACCAGGGGACCCTAGGTCTGGGGCTATTTATCACATGACCTCAGGGTAATGTGCTACAAACGTCACAGACAGGCACACCTCTTTCACTAATTATTTTTAATAAAACATAAGATCAAAAATCAGCATCAGGAGATGACACAATACAGTTGAGACTATGAAAAGCAACTACCCCCAGACTGAGCATCGCAAAATACATCATCATGAACTGTGAACAGATTTGCTCGACAAAGGAGAGCCTCGGCCCTTTTAACCCCCCACGGCCCACACTGGGAGTTTCTCAGGGTAGAAAATGAAGTGAAAAAGAAGTGGATGACCAGGAACACTGTACATTATCCCCCAATGACCTGCCACAGAGACTATTTTTAAAGACACATTTATCTCGGCAGGAGTGACAGCACTTAAGAAGTGGCCAGGTACTTACGCCAGACAATCCCTCTTGGGGAAAGCGTGGCTGCACCCTGTACAGAGGCCTAAGTGATGGATGAGATGGGAACTTCCCTCGGTTGGTTTAAGGAGCCATAAAGATAATGTAGAAGTGAGAGCTTGGAGACCACATGGAGTTAACCCCTAAACTGTTGCGGCCACCCCAGCACTCAAAACTTAATCAGATTTTAAATTTACAAGATCCATCTTAACTAGAAATGCAGGCTCTGGCTTGCAAATTTCTTAAGTGGTAGCTTCTCATCGAATTATATTATCCTCTTGAAGAATAATGTTATAGGAGAGGTGGTAATCCCAGATATACACAATTCTCTTTTATGAACCCAGCCACTGTATCTCATATCACAAGAATATGGAAAGTATATTACAGCTATATTACACCAGGCCTCTCACTGTCGACATAGCATTATGTTAGGTAACCCCTATAAAACACTGAGAGAAACATTAATACGCAGCAGTATATTTATATATTTTATATATATATGTGTGTGTGTTTAGGGGAATCAGGGTGTCAAATCAGAGTTGAATGAATAGGTGGGATTCAAGAGACACAGAGGAAACATGTTACCCATTAAAACTGATCTCAAATGGAGGGTGGAGAGGTGCCATAAAATCTACCCCTGCCCACCTGTCACCTGCGAAAATTACAGAAGGATGGCCTGAAGCTACCACAGGACCTAAGCATTTCTCGAAAACTGAGAAAACACTCAATGCAGCCATTACTATTCTGTTTTAAACATTTGGAGAGCTCTTTTAGGGAAAGTGTGGCACTTTATGGCCGTTGAGAGCACTGCAAATCAACCCCAAGAACTACTTCTTGCAGACTGATGTTTACTGGGCCCAGGCGATTCGCCTCCAGTGGCAGGAGTTCATAGCTCACTGTCCCTTCCCTTGCTAGACAGTTGTGAGGGCCAGCGAGTTGTTTCTCTTCCATGTAGTCAAGACTTCAGTCCATTGCTGCCGCTGGCCAGAGCAGTCCGTCCTAGGCTCCCACCCCTACTCATACCCCTGTTCGTGTTCCTAACTGGATTTCAGGAAAGAGTCTCTTAGAGCACTGAAGAAAAAACATATTTGACATCCACTCTGGTCCCTAACTCCCATCCATGGGCTCTGTTTCAAAAGGAATGAACACGTGGCATAGATTTCTCGTGGGACCGGACCATTATAACGAACATGGATGGCGTTTTACCACTAAAACGAGCAGAAAGTATTTACACTTGGAAGAACTGTGGCCACACTCCCCCGTCCCTCCCTCAGTCCCCCACGTTGGTTGTTTGATTATCGCCTACAAAGAGAGCGTCAGAGGCCACTGGACACTTGTCAGTGTTGTTTCCGGGTGAGCGGCAAACTCAAATGGCAGGATTGAAGACGGTGAGCTTGAGTTTCGCAAGTGATCTGGGCAAGAGAGAAAAGTAACTGCGCACTCCACCCACACGAAGAAAAGCGCCTGGGTTAAATGAACTGTACAGTATGAGTTTGTTAAGTGCATCCTCCAGACAGCAAGTTAAATGGCTATAAGAAATTGTGTTTGCATTTCATTCAATCAGACCTAATTTCCTGGGACCTCAAACACCCAGTTCTCCCAAAATATGGCTAAAATGCTGGCAATATTTGCAGATACCACTCGTGGCAATTAAACCCAAGTAAAGTTATATACAAACTTAGTTTACAGAACACCTATCCCATTAAGTTGCATTGAATAGAGCAAAATAGAAATAAATATCATTCTTAAATCTATCACCTAATCATCATGGAAAGCTTAGGACACTTAGGGGAACGAGAGATCTGTATAGGTATTGCTCAGATATTTGGTTTTCTATGTCAGAGTATTTTCAATGCTATTGTGCCAATTTTCAAGTGGAAAATATGATAGGTGACACTCTCAGATGCAAAAATATATGTATCCTGTACTTCAAGCCCAATGCTCACATGATGATTCTAACTTCCAGCCAAGACAATTTGTTAAATCACTGGGCTCCAAGGAGCTTTAAGGAAGAGCTCGAGTGTTTCTCGTCCTCAAATTCCTTTTGAAATGCAAATGAGTCCTTGCACTTCACTTAGGGAAATGCGCACTCCCGCTTAGTGTGTGCACTCGTGGAAGGGTCCTCCCCTGCCTTGGGCTGGGGAGACCAGAAGCCAAACACGCAGCTCTGTGATTCTAAGGGTGGCTCGGGGCACCCCCAAATCAGTCACCTGAGTTACAAACACATTGACAGCTGACGTGAGTCCTAAACTAAGGGTCACAAAATCAACTTCTCCTCCTGTGCTGCCCAAGGTGTCCTCCGGACAGTGACAGGCAGGAAGTGTGGATGCATTTACGTGTCCTGGACAAGATTCTTTCAACCTTCCTTTCCCCATAGATTGTTCACATCAGGACTTGTTCTCGAGTCTCCGGCAGCCGAAGGGCAATCAGGCCGCCCCCAACCAGAGAAGCAGCAGCCAGAAGGATGGGCACCACTTTGGTTATCCCAACAAAAGAAGCAAAGATGGTGTTTCCCAGGATGGCTCCAAATTTACATAATCCATTGAGGATGCCAAAGGCTGTCGCCCTGTAAAAGAAGAGGAAAGTAAATAATTCTGAAATTCTGTACCTCATTAGGTGAGTGGGACTGGGTTCCTTCTTCTCCCGGTCATGGGGACATGTAAGTGTTCCCCAATAGCATTCTCAATCCTCTTGCAGAAGAGATTGCTAGATGTCCTCAAATAATCACATCTCCAAATAGAAGACTACATTTCCCAGACTCCCTTGCTGTGAGTGTGGCCACGTGACTTAGTTTTGGCCAATAGGATGTAAGTGCAAGTGGTAGATCCAGAGAAAATTCCTTAAGAGCAGTCATGCATGAGTGGGTCTCCTGCACTGTTCTCCTTCATCCTTTTTCTTATACTCTGCTTCATGGAACACAGACGGACCATGGCTGAGTCCAGGCAAAGACTAAGAATGAGACAGGAAGAACCTGCACTGCCTACTCTAGACTTTTGCAGGAGAGAAAGATGCAATGCCTACCTTTTAAGGCTGCGGTTATTTGGGGTTTCTGTCACCCATGGCAAAACCTAAGCCCTAATTATTATCCCTCAACCACACTTCCTTGAGATGCCTGTTATCAACCATTGATACCTCCATGACCCCATCTATATACAGAGGCAATATCCCCTATACTCTCTCTCCCCAGATGAAGTAAGATGTTTCTTATTCATACCACAAGTTTATTAAGAATGTGGGTCTGATTTTGGACTTAAAATTCCTCTTACACCTTTGTCTATAATTGTGCCACATGGCAGCCTTATAAATCATTGGCCAAGTTTTTTGTTTTAGTATTTTCTTGGATAATTTCTCATGCATATTTTTCCAAATAAACTTTTTTCAAGTTCCCAGAGGAAAAAGCTCATTGAATTTTGAGTGACTTTTCTAAGTTAGAGAAAAACTAAATAAAATTTGACATTTTTGTAAGATTGAATCTTCTTACCCATAATGAGGTATATCTTGACATATATTTTGTCTGCCTTTATATCTCCTAGTAAAGCTTTATGGTTTTCTTCATATAAATGTTTCGCTCATTGAATTGACTCCTAATTCTTTTATGATTTCTGCTGTAATTAATTTTAATTGCATTTGTAATTTTTTTGATAAATTTTAAAGCCTATACATTATGAAGTTAGTTTTATTACTGACCACCTGACCAAATTATCTATCTAGTAGTCTCTTTAGTTAATTCTCTTCCTACATGTAAAATCACATCCCATTCAAATAATAATGAATCCCCCCCTTATTTTTCGTAAAACTTAGCAATCCTTTGATCCAAAGGAGTGGGGCTCCAAATATGATATGTTGTGCTTTGCCACAGTTCCCTATATCCCAGTACCTCTGGCACCAATTTTAGAAATATCATTAAGGTTTTTTGCAGAATTTCATTTACCCACCTTCCTCACCATCTCACATTCCTTTTTGACCACAGGGTCTATTATCTACTATCCTTAAAATTCTCAATTCTCCTGCCAAACAGAGACACAATTGCAAAGTAATGGCCTTGGCCCTAAGCTTTTAACCTAGGCCTCTTCCTGCATGGCCTGCACAAAATAAAAATAAACCCTGGGCATCCTGCTGCTCGCTCTGCAAATGCCCTGGCCCTCTGTGCCTCATCACCACCTTTTTTCCCCCTCCCTGCCTTCATGCTGTGTTATTCTAGTTCTCCACCTCTTTGCTTTCTCTCCCCTCAGCAGGTCTACTCTTACCTCTCTGCTGGATTACATGACACATATGGTTTTGCCAATTTCTTTTTCACTCTTACTCTTCTGTCCTGGACACAGTTTGCTCGTGTCCTTTGCTCCTTGCCATCCGCCCAACCCTATCAAGGCCTAGTCCTCCCACGTCCAGGTCTATGCAGGAGAAACTCCCATGCAGGAGAAACTCAACAGCCTAAGAAACGTCCTATCCATGGGACAACAGGAAGGCCCTGATGACTGTGCATGGTGCCCAACCTAATGAGCAGGTAGACTTCCGGCCAAAGAAGTCCCAACGAGTCCTAGAGGGAAACCCGGGGAAGAACTGACCTCTGGTTGGTGGGATACAGCTCCACTGTGATCACATCCAGAGCATTCCAGGCCGCAATGCTGGTCCCACAGAACAGGCACTGCCAGCCGATCATCGCGGACTCGCTGTTGCCAAAAAACAGGAAGAAGCAGCAGACCGCTGAGATCAGCATGGAGCCTCCTGCAGGAGTCCAAGGGCAGAAAGAAACATGAAGACTGTGTCTTGAACAAGGCTGTCACCCACAGTTCTTGTCCATCTCCCATCCCAAAGGTACACCTGAAGTAACAGGTTACCTAAAGTATTAGGTTTATCCTCCACATGGAAATAGCACTGCTTGAACCCTCACGTGGCACCCTGGCCATGGGATTGGAGCCCTCTGCATGGGTCAGAGCACCAGAGTTAGCCTCCAGGAAGGACTTTGAAATTGCCGCTCTAAGGTGCTGCCCAGCCCAGAGTGACTGGGAAAGGGGCAGATGGTGGGATTTGTTGAGAATCTATTTTGTGCCAGACATTGTCATAGTGCTTTAGATACATCAGTATCAGTTACAAAAACCCATTCTCAATACGAAATCAGCACGTCAAAGAGAAATCTGCACTCTCATACTCACTGCAGCGTTATTCACAACAGCCAAGACATGGAATCAACTAGGTGTCCATCAACAGATGGATGAATGGATAAAGAAAATGTGGTATATATGCACAGTGCTTTAAAAAGCCTTTAAGAAGGAGGAAATTCTGTTATTTGTGACAGCATGGATGAAACTGAAGGACATTATGCTAAGTAAAATAAGCCAGGTACAGAAAGACAAATACTGCATGATCTCATCTGTATGTGGAATCTAAAGCAATTGAACTCCTGGAAGTTCTACTGGAA